TAACTTGCTAAAGGCAGCAAAGCTGGCTGAGCCCCTCCCCTGCCTTCTCCTCCAGTCTTTGTCCTTGAGCGGAGGGCCTGGAGGGCAGCTCTGGGCAGGTGAGGCCGGCTGCATGCAAAGAAGGTAAGAATCTAACCAGTAGGGATGGTGCAAGGATAACCAGGGACTAGACATCTTATCTATGAGAGAGGCCCATCTGGAGCTCATTCAGAGACTGACCTAGGTGGCAGACAGAGTTGGGAACCAGTAAGGTGGGAGTTCTTCAGGGTGACATGGATGGACAGAGCTGCACTCGAGCCCTGGGGCCATGGGGTTTGGGTTGTCCCAAGAAGTCTTTGCCTGTATGTGTCCACAGGCATGTGCCTGTGATCCAGTTTGGGTTGTCCCAAGAAGTCTTTGCCTGTATGTGTCCACAGGAATGTGCCTGTGATCCAGTCCAGGACTCTCAGGCTGCTCCTGTTGGAGGAGGGTAATGGGTGGGGCCCATCTGTGGCCACCTGCAGGCTGTGGTCTTTAGGAGTCAGCCCAGGGCCTGGGTAGAGGCAGGGGCCTGATTCAGAGTCTGTACACACCCACTTCCAGCTGGTTACTGCTGAGTTTCAGGTTCTTTGGTGCTCAGCTGTCTCCAGAGGCACCAGTAAGCACTACTGTAGCCCAGCTTCAGGAGGTGGTATACTCTAACCTGTTACAGCCTTGGGGGATGCTTTGCTGCCTCATGGTCCAGTGGGGAAACTGAGGCATGGGGCTTTGTGCTTTGTCTAGTGACTACAGCGTCTGGTGTAGTATGAGTGCCCAGTACTCTGAGTCTGAGTGTATATTTTATGCCCTTTCAGGTTAGGTCCCGATTAGCCACTGTGTCCCCACAGCTTAGTGCCCCCCGGGTCTCTAGCATCCTATAGGAATTCTTCGTGGAGAACAGGGCAGCTATTGAGGGGGAGGCTGTCAATGAATGGGTCTGTCCTGATCGTCCAGCTGGGCGGTTCCTGGCACAGGGCTATGGGTGGCGTGCCGGTCAGTGCTGGGTGGGCTGGGCGATAGGTCGATAAGATGGAGAACCCAGACCTCTAGTGAGGTGCCTGGGAGGGTGGGGATACCAGGGCAGCCTGGGTGTGCCTGCCAGTTTCCAGGCTGGAAAATTGAGCCCTGGACCACCCTGCCAGGCCGCACGAGACACAGGAATGTCCTCGACAGCAGGCCACTGGGAGTCCCTTCCTGGACCTGTTGTCAACTCCGGAAACAGTTGCTGTACAGGGTCATAACCCAGAATGCTTTGTTTGGGAGGGAAGGGAGGTTGAGGTAGTCATGGGGTCAGCATGGTAGTCATGGGGTCTGCATGCTTGCTCCCTCCCTCCCGTGTACTTGGGTGGCAGTGCAGTGGGGGGACACCAGGGTGTCAGACATGCGGGCACCCTAAAAGCCTGTTTGGCTTCTCATTGGCCCTGCTGTGGGTGCAGGGGTCCCCTTTGCAGAGGTGGATGATTGGCAGGACTCAGAGAGGGTCTCACAGGGGAAGCTAAGACTCCTGATTCTGTGGCAGGAACTGGGAGCAGGGTCCTCTAATCTCCTAATGGCTGGGGAAGGTCCAGTCTATTTCCCCTGACCCCTGGGTGAAGCTTGACCAGAACTGAAGCCTGGGCACCTGCCTTTCATTCTCACAGGAGAAAATGGAAGGATTACTTAAAGCAACTTACAGATCCCAGAAACAAAATAAAAACTGAAAAGTCATCATTTTTAAACAGGGAGGTGCCCTAAAACCCGCCGCGTGATGGGTGGGTTGTGCACAGTGCTAAATTGAATCAAATTAAGAAAAATACTTTCCAAGCACAAGTAAAATATCTGTTTAATTAGACCATAAAGCGGAAATTAAAAGTAATATTTTGCAGTGGAGTAATTACTGTCTATCTGAAAGCAATGGGTTTCGGAGGTAACAGGCTCAGTTGCTGGGGCTTCTGAGGTAAAATCCTGAACCTGGGCCCAGGGTCCCTGGGGGTTTGGGCTCTTGGACACTGTGAGCTGCCGAGGTGGCTGAGAAAGGAAGTCTGGTCATGGCAGAGAGGGTCCCGACAGTTCCTCCTGAACCCACCACCGAGTGCGGAGCTTCTTACAGCTAAAGGAAGTTCAGGGAAACAGAGTTTGCTGGTGGCTGCTGAGGGGGCAGGGGAATCTGGTGGCCTGCTGCAAGGCCTTTGTCTGGTCTGAGGGCCTTGCAGGGAACAGCAGGCATGTGTGGGGTGGGGCGGAGTGTAGGGAGGGACCTTCTCCAGAGCCCTGACTGTGCTGTGGGAAGCTGATCTCTGCTCAGTCTCCTCTAGTCTCCCAGCTGGTCCCCAAAACAAGGAGGTCTTGGGTCTCTCTGGAGTGGCCTTTGTGGTTCCGAATGACCCAGCTGCACAACACAGTGGTTTTGCTTTTTGTGGACCTCAGTACTGTGCATGTCATTCCCACTCCACCTCTCCCCGCCCCCTGCAGCTTAGCATGTTTGAGCAACTTGTCACCAAGGAGTCTGCTCCTCTCTCTTGTGTGATTAAGGATGAAAAGGTGGCCCTGGCTTTTAGCTGGGCCCAACTTTCAGTTTCTCCTCTGGGAACTGCTTGTCCCCAACCTGGGTCTTGGCCAGGGGTCCTGGCCTGCCAGAGGCTTGTGCATCAAGGCCTGGGGTGCAGAGCAGCTGTTGGGGACAAGGTACCTTGTCCAGGGTGTCAGGTGCTGACTGCATAACTGAGCAGGGGGGCCTGAACATGATGGTCCACCCCATTTCCACCTCTGGATCCTGCCCAGTGCCTGGATGGACCTCTTCTGCCCCTGACAGCAGCCGGGCCTCTCTTCCACTCTCTGCCTAGCTGTGTTGGTGGGGTTAGTGTGCTCCCTTCCCCTCTGCCCCGGCCTTCAGCTTCCATTCTTGTCTCCTGCTCTGGGGGTGAAGGGGATTGTTTCAGAGACTGTGGCCCCTGAGACAGTCAGAGGCCTCTAGGCCTGTTTAGAGGGCCAAGAACAAAGGGTAGCTGGGCCTGGATTCTAGGCTGGAGCTAGGGCTGGGCGGCCCCTTTCAAGCTGAGCTAATGGCCGCTACAGGCCACACTTCCTTCCCTTTGCAGCCTCCCGCTGAGTGGAAAATTAGTGTATGGAAGCCAGACTGGAAACAGGCCTGGCCACCCTCCCTGGGGCTGGGTCGTTGGCTGGGATCACCCTACCCCTACCCCCACCCTCTTTTCATCTCTAGGGGCCTCTGTTGCCCCTGCAGGGCTCCCTGTATGCTTGAGCTTGGTGAATTCCAGGGGCATCAGCTAATGGGGACCTGCTCTGCCAGGCACTTCTCAGCCTGGAAGCCATCCAGAATTTACGGAGTCAGCCATAAATCAGGCAACTGCATGATGCTGGGTCTGGCAGGGGTCACTCTTTGATCTGTCTTGGGCTCTGGGTGGAAATGGGGCCAAGGGATAAAGGCCTTAGTCATGACAGTCCCCTTACCTCTCACTGTGTTGGCTGCCTAGGCCACAGCCTTCAGCACTTTGAACCTCCTGGCCATTGTGGGCACAGGTGACCGGCCCCTGGGCACATTCAGGGAACGTGCATTTCTGGGATAAATGAGACACTTTTGTGGGGTGGCTGACCTCAGCCCCCTAGTCTGAGAAATGGGTATATCTGGGGAGGCCGTGGTGATGGCTGCGTTAGAGTCAGGGTTTTCGAGGAAACCGCTGGGACCTGGGGGCTGTGTGGCCAGCTCAGTGTAAGGAACTGCCTGAAATGGGGCAGAAGGAAGCCAGAGCTGGAGCTGATGGAGTGGACTGCTGAGAAGTGACCCTGGGCTCTGATCAGGGTGACAGCCAGAGGCAGGCTGGGCTGATGTTTGTTGACGGGGCTGTAATGCTTGAGGCTGGCCCAGGAGAGCTCAGGGTGAATGTTTTGCCTCTAATGAGGTCACTTTGAGACCAGCCCATGCCCAGGCTCTCAGTGGGAGGGGTGTCCCCATAGAGGGTGGTGTGTCTCTTTGGGGAGGTAATGCCCCCTTTGGGTGGGGCCTACAGCCTGCCTGAGATCCCTGGGCACCCCTGGCTCGAGACAATGAGCCATGCTGTCCCAGCTGCTATCAGGGGCAGGGATGACCACTTCACTCTGGAGACGTTGCCAAGTGACCCATCCACAGTAGTGCTCCCAGGCTCTACCACGGCTGGCTGGCAGCTGCAAAGACAAGGATAGGGTCTGAGCCCCTGCCCCAGAGAAAGCTCAGGAAGGGAGGGAGCCCCGGAGGCCACTTCTCGCTAGCCTCCCGCCAGGCTCTGGCCCAGTGCCGTTACCCGCAAGCTGGTTGTCACGGAGCTACAGATGCGTCTTATTAGCCGTGAACCAGCGTGGTTAATGATGGTGAGGCGGTGGGTTGGCTGTCAAGGGCACAGGGAACCTCCTATTAACTCTGATAATTATCTTCCTGCTGGGCTCATGTGGTTGAACTAGTTTGGGCCATAATGATGTTATGGATGGTGTTGCACTGGCTGCATCATGAGCTAGGGTGGTGGGCTCCCTGTGTACCTGGATGCTGACTGCTGCCCCTCGCTGTCCCCAGGATCCTTGCCTCTCTACTCTGCTTCTTGACAAGCTCCCGGCTTCTGGGGTTCAGCCAGCGTGCCGCCCTGACGCCGAGAACCGCTGCGACGTTTGCACCACCCACCTCCACCAGCTCACTCGGGAAGCCCTGCGCCTGTTACAGACTCCCGCCAGCCACGAGGACCCTGATGCTTCCCGAGGAGGCCTTGTGGCTCCCAGCCCTAGGGACCCACCTGGACCAGTGGGCCTCACAGGGAGGCAGCCCCCTGTGGGACCTGACAGGAGGAAGGCAACAGCTTGGCCGTCCGGCCCCAGCGTCCAGGTGTCCGTGGCACCAGCGGGCCTCGGGGGAGCACTGAGCACAGTTACCATCCAGGCCCAGCAGTGCCTTGAGGGTGTGTGGAGCCTCTCAAGGGTCAACAGCTTCTTGCCGCCCACCTGCCTGGTGAGTGCTCTGCGTAGGTGGGCTACTGGATCCCAACTGGATCCCTTTTGGGCTCCTGACCACATCTGGGTGCTGTGCAGCATGGTGTTGGCAATGCAAACCCAGGAAGGTCAGGGATGCTTTTGGCTAGCTTGCCTCTCAGATCATCTGATGCTGTGGGCTGAGGGAGGAACCCAAGGTCTCCTGGGATGACCTCATCTGGGCTTGGGTTTAGAGAGGCATCTTCCATTGAGGCACTTCCGTGGCAGGCTGTCCTCAGGGGCATAGAGTGGGTGACGTAGACCTGCCCTGTGGACGGTTGACAGAACCTGGAATACAGTGAGGCCCACAGTTGCTGGCACTGACGTTCATAGGTTAAAGGATGTCCCCCAAGCCTCCCCTCTCGCCAGAGAGCCCTGGGAGGGCCTGGCTCCCCTTAATCCAGCCCTACAGCCCCTGACCAGGAGCAGTTGTCTGGGGCATTGCCTGCATGGGTGCTTCTCAGCGTCTTTCTTGGAGTCTCTCCAACACCCCATGTCCCCAGCTTTCCACCTGGTTCAGGGAATCCCAGGGTGGGAGTTAAGAGAGCAGTGCCGTTGGCCTAGAGGTGTCCTCGGGTGCTGGAAGGTGGGGCTCGGATTTAGGGAGTATAAGAGGTTATCTCTGGGCCCTGGAAGAGGGCCTGCCACCACAAGGACACAGCCAGCACTCTACATGAGCCCTGCTTGACTTAGCCCTTCTCCAGGGGCACCATGCTGAGGGCACAGCCAACTGCCCCTCGAGGACTCTAGCGGGGAGGGCAGTGTACTTTGTACTGTTGGTCTGAGTTCCCCTGGTGACCCAGTGGGAGGGATCCTCTGGGCAGGGAAGGTGTAAATAGATCTACAGGAATGAGGTACTGGTAGCTTAGCGGGGAGAGGCAGGAGGTGAAGGGGGGCAGGCTGCTGTGGATCATGTGTGCCTGGCTACATGGAGAAGCCCCCTCCCTGGAGTCCTGATTGTAGAGGATCTGTGGGTGTTTCCAAGGAACCGTGCTTCTGTGGTGGAGTTTCAGGTATGCATTCCAGGCACACAGCAGCCAACCATGCAGGCCTGGGAAGTTTGCAAAGTCCCTGGTGTGGGCTGGTGGGCTCTGTGTGTAGCATTTCAAGGAGATAGGCTGAGGGACCCCCGAGCCACTGGGCATTGTTGATACAAGCTCCCATGGAAGGAAGACATCTCCCGTTTTCTGACTGTAGGTACCTCTGTGAGGTGGGTAAAACTTGCCGGCAGGACTTTGCTCTTGGATGTGGTGTGTGCTGAGAATTCTGCCCAAGCTGGAGCTGGTCTCTGGGGTTTGTTCGGGGGCTGGTCTTTTGAGGCCATCTATCCTGAGGGTTGGAGTGCCATGTTGGTCATGGCCCAGCACTCTTCCCCTTACCATACTGAAGGGAGGTCAGCTGCTCTGTCCTCCTGAGGCTTTGATCCAACAGCTGGGCTGCCTGAGGAATGGGGAACAGAACCCAGGTGTAGGGTACAGATGCTACTGACTGCTCAGGTGAATTAATTAATCCCTGGCATTAAGCTGGACCCCAAAGACAAGCTCAGGTGATGTGCTCAGACCTAAGACGCTGGTCCAAAGGGGTCTGGGTGGCCGCATTGATTGACTGGCCTTAGGTCTGAGCAAGGCTGACGTTGATGGTCTTCATGCTTTGGTGTGGTGATGAGGGCTGGGAAGGATGCTGGGAGGGTCACTGGCCTTTAGTTAGGGAAGTCTGACTGGGGCCGGCAGTGCCATAAAATGTGGGCATTTAAGGCTCCCACTCCTCATTTCGTGTGCACATTGATTGTGTTTGGGAAGGTGGGAATGGATTTATAATTAGAGAACAGACCTGGCAATCAATAGGGAGATTATTAGAACCATAAACAGGACTTTAGGCTGCAGATGAGGCGATGTCCCCCGAAGCAGGGCATCAATTGCTGATGATCAGGGACTGCCTGGGCGCTCTGGTATTAAACACTTCTAGAGAGATGCATTGTGAATCTGTCACAGATGGGCAGTGGCCTGTGAGGGCTGATTAGGTGGATTGGTTCCCATAGGTGGGAAAGGCAGCCTGGCCCCCACCATAGTGGAATGAGGAGTGGAGGGCCAGGTCTGGGTCCCATGGGCACTTTCATTTTGACTGAGGAAAAGTGGTTGACTCTGGCTGGACAGTTGGTCCTTAGGGAAGATGGTATGACCTATGTCTTCGTAAACTCTCTGGAGCCACAGGCAAGGCCTGGAACATTCTAGGTGCTGTGGCTGAGAGCTGACCTGATCCCTCTATGTGCGTGTTACTGTGGTACAGCTGCCCTCATGGCCCCAAGTTCCTTTGGAGCGAGGAGCTATGGGCCTCCACAGCTTGAACCCAAACCACAGCCACATCTCATTTGGGTTTGGAGGAGTGTGCCATGACAGGCTGTCCTCAGGGAACAGCTCGGGTGACATAAGCTTGTCCCAGGGATGGATGACAGAGCCTGGAGTACACAGTGAGGTACTGACTTTTATACATTGAAGGATGACCTCCAAAGCTCCCCTCCCACCAGGGAGCCCTGTGAGAGCCTGGCTCCCTGTAACCCTTGATCAAAGAGGAGCCCTTTCCTGGCCATTTTGCCTATGGAGCATCCAGCTGTTACTCTGGAGCTCCTGGGGGATTGTCCCTACTAGTCTTTCTAGACTAGCAGAAGTTCTCAACCTGTGGGGCGTGACCTCTTTGGGGTCAAAGGACCCTTTCATAGGGGTCTCCTAAGACAATCTTGCATATCAGATATTGTACATCATAACTCAAAACAGTAGCAAAATGACAGTTATGAAGTAGCAACAAAAATAATTTTATAGTTGAGGGTCACCACAACATGAGGAGCTGTTAGAAAGGTTGAGAACCACTGCTCTAGACTGTCAGGTGGAGACACTGGTACTGTGACAGATGAGGACGTTTCCCCAGTGCCAGCCTTGTGGCATGTCCTGCAGTCAGAAGCCCTCATGGAGGTCAAGAAACCTGTTGTCATCTTGAAGCAGAAGCTGCAGGATAGGAAGGACTTCTGATCCTATAGTTAGTTTGAGATGGCACAGTTGACATCGAGGGACGCCTCGGTTCTCCACTGCGTGGTGGCTGTTGGGTAGCACCGTCCTGGGGGTGCCTGCTTGCCTCCCACTTCAAGCTGTGCGGGGAGCCTGCTGTCTGCTATTCACAGACGTAGGTGGATACTGGAGCGTGGATGAGCTCCTGCTGCAGTCTGGCCCTCCACTGATGATTCTAACTTGTTGCTGACTTCCCTGTTCAGGCCTTGTTTTACCCACCCACATAGTGGGGGTTGGTAGGATGTCCTCCTCTTCCATGAGAAGTCCTAGTGAAGCTGCTTCTGTGGTATGAGTGGGGACAATGCCCTAAAGGTATGGGACTTCCCAACCTTGGGCCAGGCCCTGGAGGCCTCTGGACGGTGAGGCCAGAGGAGGGGAGCAGGCAAAGAGGTCCCACTGAGGGTCCTACATTCTCTGCAGGACACTACCCCCTCCGTTTTATATACTTGCCCCAAGTGTAGCCTCAACCGAGCCTCCAGGTTGCTTCTCAGTCCCTCACAGTCCCTCAGCACCTGGTAGGGTATTTATTAGAGGGCACTGTCCTTCATGCCAGAACCTTGTAGATGGAGAGATCAGGCCTAGAGGGCTGCTGAGGTGGGCTAGTCTGCGTTTCTTAAACTCGGTTCCACAGAACCCTGGTGTTCTGTAGAGGTCAGCTGACACTGGGTGACGGCGTAGGTAGGTTCTGCATTGTCTTGCCTGTGTGTGGGTGCAGGATCTGGCTGTGAGGTCATGGCGTCGGGGCTCTGCTAGCTGTCCCTTGGCCAGTGCTGGCCTCACGCTCTCCTCTCTCCACGCTTTTCCTTTCGTTGCTGCTGTGTGCCTCCATCACACTTTCTGTTTGTCCGTCCACCTCCCCCTGCCCCGTGTTGTGCTCCCCTCCTCCTGCCCACACCACCACTGCTCTGCACTCGCTTTGGGACGGCTTCTTTTGGCATTTCCGGGCTCTGCTTCTGGCAGGAATTGGCAGTGGCCGTCCCGATGGACAAAGCCGTGTCATGGCAGCTGGTGGGACGGTGGAGCCAAGTCACATGCGGGACTCCTGAGACAGGTCAGTGTGGGGAGGACCAGTGGTGCAGGTGGGTCAGCCGGCCAGAGGCCCTGGTGTTTCTGGAGATGCCCCAGGGTGGCTGGGCCTATGGGAGTGGGTAGAAGGGCCACGTGGGGTGTGGGGCAGCAATTCTGGCCCCTGTGACTCCTTCAGTCCTCAGTGTCTGGCAGTCAGGCAGGGTGTTATGGGACCCAGGGCCTGGGCCCTCAGTACTGCCGTCACAGAGTGCTGAGCTAACTCTAGGTACTGGGGGCCATGGGTTGGACACCCCTCCTCTTGGAGCCTGTCCAAGCGTTCCTGGCCCTGGGCTCTGGCTGCTGTGCCCAGTAGGTGCTCAGCCAAATCCAGCGCTGCTCCGATGGCTCAGACTACAGATGTCAACCTTGCAGGTTGAACGTTTATGCTTTCCTGTGGAACTCTTCCCAGCTAAGCAGCTCAGTCTCTTGTAGGAAAACACACTAAGTGACAGGGAAAGGGACTCTCATTTGATGTGAGGGAGTGGCTTAGAGAAGAAGGGGGCTGGCCAGGCCGGGTTCTGAGGCATGTTTAGGAGTGTAGTCCTACACACCTACGGTCAGGTGGCTGACAAGGTGTTTGGTGCCGTGTCTGGTAAACTGTTCCGGGCTTGACCTTTTCTGCTATTGACCCTCCCTTCTTGCAGTCCTGGGGTAGTGGATGCTGCTGGGGACTGTCAAGGTGCTGGGCTTGCGCTGGCCGAAGCCTTGGGCTGGGCTCTGGACTTTTACGGGCAGAGAGACTGTTCTTTCTCCCAAGGGGGAGGGTGTTAGAAGCTGGGGTTCTTCAGGGACTGAGAATGTGAAGTCTTCTCTGTGAGGAGGGTAACTGCCCTGGGTTAGTGCCATCTCTGGGTACAAGGTGGCTTGTTCTACAGAGGTGCCACATCTGGTCTCAGGGCTGCATCCTTTGAGAGACCCTAGAAATACTGAGCTCAGCCCAAGGTCCCCAGACCAGGCCTGTGCCCTCTCAGCCTGGGGATCCCGGGCTCTGCCAGCTGGGACACAGGCCGTATTGGCTGGAATGTTGACCTCCCCACTCAGGCTGAGTGGGGAGGATATATTGGAGGGTGAGGGGCACGGGGGTTTCCAGGAAGAGACCAGCAGCCTGTCCTACTCTGCTAGGGCTTGGGTCCCCTCCACCCCCAGAGCCAGAGGGCCAGGTAAACATCATGTGGAAGCTGTCCTGGGAGCATTTAATTATATCTGTGCTCCACGACGAGGCCTCTCCCTTTCTAGAATTTATTTTAGCTAATTAGTTGGAAATGCCAGAGTTGTATTTCAGGCAGTGGAGTGTCATACGTTATCACATGGGGGACAATTAGCACTCATGCCAAGTATTTATTGTGGTGTCTTGTATAATTGTGCCTCTCGGTGATCCCAGATGGCCCGGGGATGTGGGGCAAAGGTCTGTCTGCCTGACCTCTGTGGTCACTACAGGCCTTGATGAGGGTGGCGTTAGAGTCTGTTCCTGGTGGGGTCTGCCTTTTCTTCTGTGCCTGGGACAAACCTGTCGTGTACCCTGAGCGTGGGACTTGGGTCCTTGCAGATTGTCTCGGAGGCTAGGCCTTTCTTGCGGGGTCCCAGTGTTTCAGCTATGACTTTCCAGTCACACAGGCAGGATCTTGCAAGTGTGTGGGTAGGTGGGTGGGTGGATGGGTGGGTGGGTGGGATTGAGGGGTAAATGAGAGTACTCAGCCTGGGGCAGTGAGTGTTCCTCTGTCTCCTGATGGTTTCTCATGTGGATTTCTCCTTCCTCCAGGCTGAGGCGGCTGTGGCTGCCGTTGCCGTGGCCGACACAGTCCGAGACTGCCCTCCAGCTGCAGGCCCTGATGGTATGTCTAAGGCTTGGGGCCGAGGGGCAGCATGCACTACAGCCCTGGTTACTCCAGCCCCAGGCTCCTCAGCAGGGGGTTCCACAGGCCCATCGGCTGCAGCCTCTTTCTTTATAAGGTATGTCTCTGGGGTCACGCAAGCTGCAGCATGTTGGGGAATGGAGGCCCTGAGTTCTTGGTCCCTGGTGGCCTGTGGCCTATTCTTGGGAGAACTGTGGCTCAGTCAGTGAAAGAGTGGGACATCAGACTGATGATGAGTAGTGCGGGAGTAGAACATCAGACTGAGCAGCTCAGCTCATGGCCTGGCTGGCCTCCCAGGGCACCTTTCAAAGGTACCTGTCTGGGACCTAGAGCTCAGGTGCATAGAAGTGACAGTGCCGTGGCTTGACTCCTTCCCTTCAGGATGCCTCGCTTGAAGATGTGAGGTAGCATGATGGTCTGACCAGAGGGAACAATGTACTTCAACGTGGGAGGTGGGAACACAGCCCCCCCACCCCCCGCCCCAGCTTGGGCAGTGGATAGGTAGGGGAACAGAACAGTCCTCTGCTCCAAGGTTCTGCAGACTCCAGGCTGGAGTCCTACCCTCTTCCAGCTGCCTGAGGAACAGGGATTACAGGATGTAATCGCCATAATGAGAGGTAATGGCAGCCAGCTGGGGGTCACTGTCCCATTAACAGCACACATGGGCGCTGATAAGCTTGTCTGTATCATGCTGGGCAGTGTGCAGAGGACGTCTTATCAGCCCTGGTCCGGGGGGACTGCAGGGCCTGATGGGGGGCGTGACGGGGCATGTGATTAGGGTATTGTCGGTCCTGGCTGATGAATGCTGTCATGCCGTGCGGTACTACCTCCCGTGACTGATGTGGCCTTAGCCACCACCCCAATTAGGTGCAGAGAACCTGGCTAGGACCTTCCAGATGGGGACATGTAGGAGTCCTTTTCAGCCTGCTTGGGAGCCTCTGTGTACCACCAGCAGACAAGGTGGTGTCTAGGCGGCTGGGCATGAGGGGCAGGTAGCTGTCTGTGTCCTTATCCTGCTTAGTTCTGGTTTCAAGGGCCTTTGCCTTGAGGATTTGGTGGCCTCTGGGGCAGCTACATTCCTGGCATGGTGCTTGGTAGGAGGTTTAGAAACGCTCAGATCTTTTGAAAAGAGTTTACTTGGCCACTGGTCCTGAGGCTGGGTAGCGCCCAGCACCCTGATTCTGAGGCCCCTGGTGCCTGAGGAGAATCTTGACACTGACTGCGGTGTGTGTGAGGCCCTCTCCCACTGGCTCATTAGCCACCCTGCCTGGCAGCGGGCAGCAGGTGCTGGCTGCCTTTTGTCTCAACCCTGGCTATGGAGGCTCCTCTGCCTGAGCAACACCCTGACCTTGGAAAGTTACCATAGAAACAAAGAAACAAGTGGACTTGGGTTAGGGGCTGGAGGCAGGTTTCCCAAGGCTGGTCTATGTATGGGGGTGGGGGTGGGGAGCGCTCCTGGCTGCCGTTCCTTCCAGCATATGGGTCACTCTGAATCTCAGTGGCTTCCTGAAGACCTGTTGAGGGCCGGGTTAAGGGTGATAGTGTTTCTGCAGGTGGTGTCCCACAGGGCTGAGATGGCTAGTGGGAGGCGCAACCCAATGAGCTTTGAAACTATGCAGCCACTGCCTGGCGCTGTGGATAAAGGGGAGGCATGGAGTTGGGGAGGGGCTTGCCCAGAGTGTACCAGGAGGCAGTAGAACTTTGGCCCCACCCCACGGCCCCTGGCTCATACGGAGTAGATGGTGTGTTCCTACCTTCACTCTCTGGACCTGGATGGGTGGAAATATCCTTGCTCATCCCTGCCCTTGGGAGGCTTGCATGATGGGAGAGGGGATGAGTCTGGAGTCTGTGAAGGTGTCCTGGGATGGAGGCCTGATCAGAGCGCTGCCCTTGTGTGCTCTGGGGGTGGGCCTCAGGGCCTGAGGAGGAGCCTGGCAGGTGCGTCTGTGCTGTGCACACGGAGTGGCGGTGGGCTCAGCAGTTTAGGTTCTCAAATCTCACAGTCATGGGGTGAGTCTGGGCCCTGCCACTTCTCTGAGTACCCTCCCCAGGCGGAACAACCAGCCCAAGCCTTCCTCAGCCACTTCCGTGTGCCGTGTCTACAGGGAAGTACACTGCAGTCCCCAGCGTGGGTAACTGAGCGCCAGGCGGGCAGAGTATCATCCCCTCAGCTGGACCCGAGTGGTTGAGCGCTGACTGGATGGATGTCCCCAGTTGAGGCCACTCTGTGGGGGCTGCCGTGACCTTGACACCCATGTCCTGAACCCTCTGATGGCTCTGCGGCCTGCAGCCTCCTCTCTGTCTCTGACGTTCCCGTTAGCACTGCCCACCTGCCTGGCTATCCTTCTGCCCTTAGTAAAGATGGGTTGCCTCTGGGACCCAGAATCTAGAGATCTTGGGAACCTCTGCTGGAGGAGGCATCTTTCAGGTAGCTATGGGGCAAGGATGTCTTTCTGGTACTCGAAGCTTCCTGGCCCCTGTGGAGCCCCAAGTGTCTTTCTGGACGTACGTTTGGGCCTAGCCGGCAGAGGTGCTGAGGCTCCAAAGCCGGGTCTGAGCTACCAGGAGGGAAGACTTGTCAGCTCAGTCTCTTGCTTGCTCCAGTCTCCGGTGTAAGGCCCGCAGGGGACAGCGGCACCACAGGCCCAGGGAGGCCTTAGGTGGTAGCTCCCTCCAGTCATGTCTTAAGTCCCTATTACTGTCCTGTGGGACCCACCAAGGAGCTCCCAATGAGTACTTTAGTCCTCATGAGGCAGACCCTGCAGATGGCAGGTCTGCTATGGTGAAGGAGGCTTGTTGTGGCCTTGCCATGCCCACCAGCCTCTGAGCTGAGGGAAAGCGTTGGTTGGATTGGCAACCGCTGATCGCTCCAAGGGCACAAGCTGCCTTTCAGATGCTCAAAGACCTCAGTGTCAAGTCCATCCAACTCTAAAGTACCTTCCTCTTTGGAAGAGGTACATTTTCTTTATGAAAAGGGGGAAAAAAAACAAAACATTTTTTCTCTGTTCTCATGAATCAATGACCAGAGAGACGATGAATCTGGGGTTGCTGTTCAGGCTGGCATTCACAAACTGGGTCATTCATGCCTTCATTCAGGTCTGCGCCGGGCTTCCTGTGAGCTCGGGCTTGGCTTGGCTGGTGTCTCTGTAGTCATCTCAGGCCAGAGTAGTTTTATGGAGCAGGAGGCTTAGGGCTGGGCTCTACCTTGGGGCATCAGGACAGGCTTCCCGGAGGTGGTGTCCCTGGGGTTGAGAGGGCTGTTGGGAAGCTCCTGCCTTTTTTAATTTTCCAGTCAGGGGCAGATGGCTCAGACTGGCCCACTCCTCCCTGCATGTCCTGCTGCCCCAGGGCTGCCACTTCCACACAGTGTGGTGGCCTTGATGGTCCTGGGTAGGGTACCCTATCTTTTCTTAGCCTTGGTGAGGCACATGTTTCCTGTGCCTTTGCTGCTCAGAACCAAACTGGGGTCCTCAGTGGGCAGGCTTGGCCTCTGAGACTAAAGTCCCTGCAAGCCGAAGCCTTGCAGTCTTGGGAGGTTGGTGGGAATTTGTCTCATCTTCATCAGAGAGAAGGTACCTGTCCTGGGGCGTCCGTCAGTCGTCAGGGACCTGCTGTGAGTCACATTTTGTGAACTCTGGAGGCTGGGCCTGCTCCAGCAGCTGCTGGCTCCTAACCCTTCTGGGAGGTGCTGCAAGTCAGGTCAGACCAAGGTGCTGGCCGTGTGCAGGAGGTAGTTGGGTCTCTGCACCCACTTACAGGCAAGAAAGCTACTCTAGGAAGCCTCCTTGTCCTGCCCAGGAATCCCTGGACCCCTTTCTGCTCAGCTGGGATGGCATAGCTCTTCCATTAGTTCCCTGCACTGGGCAGTACCAGGCAAGGGGGTTGTGACTGCCCTGCCCTGATCATACCTGGAGAGAACAGTGCTTTCTGAGGCTGGACGGAGGCTTTTCCTCAGGAGGCCGCTGGGGTGGGATCTGGAGTGGGAGGCCCCAAATAGGGAGGTGGGAGGCATGGAGAGCCCCTGAGCGATGGCCGAACAGTATAGCTCTCTGCTGTGGCCCTTCCCAGGCACTGCCAATGTCCTCTGACCCCCACAGGAGTAGTTTGGGTTGTAGCTGAGGGTCGATCCTTCTTGCCTTGACCTTTGACTTCTCGGTGTACACAGTCTGGTAGTGTTGGCCTCGCTTGCCTTGTTTTGCTGTGTGCCTCTTCTCTGAGGGTGCTGTGACAGACTTCCTCGCATGGCTCATTTGAGCTTTGCCAACACAGGCTCAGGCAGGTGCTAGGCAAATGCTTAAGGCTCTGTGTGAGGTTTGAGTTTGCACCTCAGGGTGCAGGTGCCACCACTGCCACCAGAGAACCCAGGTTCTGGGGCCCAGGGCTCTTCCTGGGCAGGAGACCTCCACTCCCTGCTCTGCCCTGTCTGCTGCACGCGGGTGCTGCTGCGGCTCCGTTAAGGACTCCGCCATGCATCGTAGATTACTTTTATTTTCTGTGATGACACCTCACTAGGAGGAAGCTGTCCCTGGGGCCTCTTAAAAGACAACTCCTATTAAAGATGAGAGAAGTTACCAGAGCACCAGCAGCGTGGTGGGAGGTGCCAAGGAGGGCCCCGGGCTCTGGGCTCTTGCGTGTTGGATCCTTCTGAGGAGGACCAAGTGGACCTGGGAGGCCTACAGGGATGGGGAGAAGGAGCCGGGGCATTTGGGGATATGGGGGAGGGGTGGACCTGGTTGGATAGCTTCTCATCCTGGTCACCTGCCCCCACCCGGGTCTTCTTCTTTGGAAAATGGTGACAGGCACAGGGAGTGTGGCTCAGCCAGGGTAACCATGGTTTGAATTTACAGTGGTGATATTCTTGGGTCCTTGTGGTGTGGGTTAGGGCCGTGTGGCTCTCATGACCTCAGTTATGGTAGGAGGCAAAGCCTTGGCTGGAGGACTTTGCAGGGGGAGGGTGTTGGAGGGCAGTGGGAACAACTGTTAAAAGGGTCTGGGGCCTTCAGGAAAACCCATCCCGGGACAGAGACCTGACCCGTGAGATGTATCCCTGGAGTACAGTCAGCTTGAAGAAAGCTATGGAGGGTAGGAATGAAGGCTGTGACTTCAGGGATCTCCCAGAGCAGAATGCAGTCCTTTGCCTACAAGGACCGTCTGTCTCCTGCCCTGGCTGTCGTCCCAGCTTGGGGCCACACCACTCAGAAAAATAGAGTTCAGGCCGTGAAGCTGTAAGAGTTTCTGGCTGTTTTCTCAGAGCGATTCCTGTATGGCTGATGGAGTCTGAGGGTGGAGCAGCGTGGTATGGACAGACACAGTGACGGGGTAGTTGTTGGTATACTCTGAGCCCCCTGCCTCTCCTCCCCAGGGCTGCCCAGAAGCTCAGCCTGGCCTCCAAGCGCAAGAAGCACCACCCACCACCTGCGCCCACCACTCGGGGCACGTCCACCTACCCCACGGACTTCAGTGGCACTCTGCAGCTGTGGCCTCCCCCAGTGCCCCCCTGCCTGCTCAGGGCTGCCTCCAAGGCCAAGGAAAACCCCAGCAACTTTGGAAAGGTAGATCCTACCTGAGGTCAGATGGCCTGGGTGTGGGAGGCCAGGGCTATCTAATAAGATGTAGGAGATAGAGGGCCCCACTTTCTTCTCCAGGGCCACATTAGGACAGCTGACAGAGCTAAATATGGGGAGCCTGAGCCTCTGGGAAGCAATGCCCCAAAGGGCATAAGGAGTGTGGAGCTGAGGTGGGAAATGACGGGAAGAAGCTTGTCCCTCAGGTCCCAGGGACATGTTCCAAGATAGCATGTGGTGGGGCATCTGGGCCTAGGATGGGGCTGAGCTGGAGAGCCTCAGTCTTGCTTCTTCCTCGCTGGATGCTGCCTTGAGGTGGGGCTGGGCAGGAGGAAGGGGTGGGACCCCTCAGCTTTCCTGAGTCAGGGGATCCCGGCAGCTCAGCCAGATGGGTTTCAGTTGGGGAAACAGATCTAGGAAGGGTGAGAACCCTGTGTGGTGTTGAGACAAGCTGGTTGGCTCCAGACCTTCTTCCAAGAGTTCTAATTTGATTCCTAAGATTGGTACTCTGCTGAGGAAGAAGTCCCTGTACCCCAGGCCCAGTGGGCTGCCCCTGTGGCAGGACCGTGCAGATGCATGGGTGAAGTGGGCCCTATGCCCCCAGGGTGGAGAGCCAGACTCTATCAACCACTGTGGAGAGGGGGTTCCTGACCTCTGGCACGTGTTTTTCACTGAACCTTTGCCACTCCAAGGGCAGTGTCCCCTGCCAGGCATCCTGGGGGTTATGGAACTGGACCGCCCCGGCTTGGCACTAGCCCTGCACGCGCGCCGTGTCCTGCGCACATGGTCAGCACTGGCTAGTGGCAGTGGACTCCGAAACAGGGACCAGAGAGGAAGCTGTGTGTTTGCAGACTTTCCTTCCAGAAGGGAGGCCTCCTTCTGTGGCAGAGCCCCTGAGGAAGGAAGGACTTTCTAGACAGGGCTGCCCAGACAGGCAGCTGCAGGCGGGTGGGAGGGACTGGGACTCTTTCAGGCCCAGCTGACTTCACTCTGCACACTTTTAGCTAGCACTGTGGGCTGCTTTTCTTGCCCTCTGCTGCCTCTCAGAATGCTAATTGGTGGCTGGAAGCCAGGACTCCTGGCTCCTCCCTTCCCCTGGGAAGGGGACACACCCCATGGTTTCCTCAAGGCAGTCTGCTGGAGGTGGCCTCCGTTGGGGTGGAGTATGGGAAATAGATTAGCCTGGGGTTGATTGCAGACAGTTGGCATGGGAGCCACATACGTGTTCAGTGTGGCCCGTAGTGCTGTGGCCAGTAGTGCTGTGGCCCAGGAGTGTCGTAGAGTTGACTCAGAAAGTTTCTCCGTTCTGGACCCAGCTGTGTGGATCTGAACCAGTCACCTTCTGCTCCTGGCCCCAGGCCACTGTATTGCAGTGGTGGGTTTACTTGGGCAGCCCAGCTGTCTGGGGCCTGATGGGGCCGTTCTGTGAAGGTCTGTGTGTGTACAGTTGTTCGGCTCCGGGTTGGCTGGGCTGCGAGCGGGGCCAAGGCAGCCTGCCTCGTTTAGGACAGTTACAGTTCTTGGTGACAGGCGTCACCTGCCTCTGTGCCCTATTCTGTTGGGAGGAGGGGTGTCCCTGACCCCCACTACCCATGCCCGCCAGGCCTTGGCTGCCCCCACTTTCACACTGGCAGTGTTTAGTAGATGAGGCCGGTGGCGTCAGCACTGTCTAGTGAGGAAGGGAGGGAGGGAGATTGGACCGAGGCCTGAGTGACTTGAGCACCCCAGTCTCCTCTGCCTGCCACAGCTCTAGGTGGGTCCCACTGACCAGGCTGTCACCGTCTGGCTGTGTGGGTACAGGGCTGGGATGAGACCGGGGGAAGAATGGCTGGGCCTAGGACCAGCCTGTTTGTTCTCTTAGCCTGTCTGTCCACCTAGCTTCTCTTCCTCAGAGGCTGTGGTGGGTGTGGGGACGGTGTCTGCCTTAGGGCTGATGGGATGAGGAGTTCCGACTCTTTTCTGGACATTAAAGCTCAGAATGGCACCTGCTCTTTATTGTCACTGTGTTTTGGGGGCCTGCCAGGTCTCTGCTGTCCGAGGAAGCCCTCAGCCTTCTTTTCTGCTGACCCTGGACCATTCAGGGCTTTCCCCAGAGACCAAGTGTCCTGGCCACCTGCCTGTTACCCGGCCCTGTCCCCCACACCGCTGTCCCCCTCCCTGGCTCTCGGTGTCATCAGCACTAATGTCACATCACCAGAAGTACCTCCTGAAAGGCGTTTAATATTGCCACGGAAAAGAAGTTAGATTACATTCAGTGTCTGACATTAATGTGCTACTTAAGATAATTCATCATACCGTGGTATTAAAAAAGACATCTCTGGTGTTGGGTGCTGAGTGGCGCCCATCCCCCTCCCCAGATTGGTCCACCTCTGGGGAGCTGGAAGCCCGGCTTTTATGTAAAATGTGCTTCCCTCCCCCCAGCTCCAGTGGCTTTGTGATATCTGCACATTTGGGGGGTGAGGATGCTCTTGTCTCCCGAGAGACCCTGTCATTTCCCTGAGGTAATGACAGGTTCTTTCCAGCAGACAATGGACGGGGGCAGTGGGGGGCAGGCTGGACGAGATGCCCTGCTCAGTCCCCTCCCTGCCTGGGGACTCGGGATTAGTATCTGCTGAAGAGGCATCCGCAGACATCAGAGCCAAATCACAGCTTCTCCAGGCCTCTCCTCCCCACTAGGCAGCCTCTCACATCTCCAGAGCCCATTTGGTTCCTGAAGTGGTGAGGAGTTCACACTGGAAAAAAATTGCCAAAAATTACCTGGAAGTGTACATTTTCGTCTGCATTGCAGCAGCGTGTGGAAATGAAATCGTTTTGTTCCCGTCACTGGGGAATAAAGGAATCGATTCTTGCCTGATGGAGCCCAGGTTCTCAGTAGTACAATAGCCAAGTATTTCTTTGCTCCCCTCTCTCCCCAGAGGGTGGGACACTCTGCTCCGCAGGAGGCTCTGCATATCAATGTGCCCCTTGTCCGCTGGGAGCCAGCCCGTGGTGCTTGCGTAAGCTGCCCCCTAAACCAATTTTGCAGCATTATGTATCTGTCACTTACAATTAAATCCTTGAAAAATATTGGTTCTGAAATGAGTCTCTGGTAATTTGATTTACACCAATGCGAAGTCAGAGATTTCACTGGAGAGTGAAAGGTGTGACCTCCAGCCAAGGGAGGCCCTAACTCAGGGTGGCTTCTGAGGAAATAGTGCCTCCCACCTGCCCCAGCCTCCCTCCTCCGCATTACTGCGCCTGTGGGGAGTATCTGTCCTCCACACAGGTTTTGGGGTGCCGCAGTGCAGCTTTCTTTGGCATCCTTGTATCCTCCATTGCATTTTCATGGAAGGTTTTGGGGTCCATTGTTCTGGGCCTTATGGACCCTGGCAGTCACTGGGCATATTGGAATCTCCTTTGTTTCTGCCAGGGCCCAGGCTGACCAGTCAATAGCAGGGCTCCAGGAGCTCAGGTCCACCCCTGCCCTCTCCTCCACACACCTCCCAGCCTCAGTTTCTCCAAATTGGGGCTCGTTAGGCAAGACTTCAGAATTGCCTTTTCTCAGATTGGATTCTCGTTCCGGGGAACTTCCTCCACTCTGTGCCCATCCTAGCTTCTCTCCTTCGTGAGCTTCTCTAGCCTGGCTTCCTGAGTTGTTTCAGGGCGCAGGCGGCAAGCCTGGAGTTTATCCCCACAGCCTCTCGGCCTTCTGGGGCCCTTCTCCTTTTCTGTGGGTTTGCACATTTGTTCACTCTACAGGTGTGCCCACTCTCTTCCTGGGATGCGAGTCCTCCCATCAAGGACTTTGTCCTGAGGCTGGTGATGGTGCCGGCTCACCTTCAGGGTTTTCTGAAGGAGAAACACCTAGGGGCCTAGGGAGTGCTCCCTGTCTCTGCTAACTGACCTCTCCTTCCCTACCTTGCCTCTGTCTCCCGCTTTGCTGACTGGCTGTGCACCCCACCAGCCTTACCCCACCCTGGGCTTCATTTTCTCTCTATCCGGCTGACCTCATGTGGGAGCCGCTCAGGCAGCATTCCTGTGGTCTCAGCACCCATGCTGAGACCTGGTCTGCTGTCCTGACTCGAGCTGGCTTCCCCTGCTCTGTAATTAGTGACCAGCTGGGTGGAGGGCGGAGCTCAGATTCCTGCTTCTGCCAACCCCCAGGTAAAGGTTATGCTACGTATCTGGCCGGCACAAGGAGTCCAACGCTCCGCTGAGTCCTCATCCTACCTGAAGGTGGACCCTCGGAAGAAGCAGGTGACTCTTTATGACCCCGCTGCTGGGCCCCCGGGCTGTGCAGGCCTCCGCCACGCCCCCACAGCACCGGTCCCCAAGATGTTTGCTTTTGACGCCATCTTCCCCCAGGACTCGGAGCAGGTACAGTGGAACGCCTGGGTGCTTGTGACAGGATTAGATCTGACTCTCTGTGGAGTGGGAACTTAGCTGCCTGTTGGGCCTGCCAGGTCTTCCTCCCTAGCAGTCCTAGCCCAGGACATTTCCCCAGTCTCTGCCTAGTCCTTCAGGCCAAGTGTTGGGGAAACACTGAGCTCTTCAGGCCCATTCTCCTATGAAACTTTTTGAGCAGCTATGCCCTGGAAACTGGGGACACTGGGTGCCCACGCAGCACACTGAGCAATGACCATGACTTCCTTATGCTGTGTTGTGGGCAGCAACTGTCAGTGCTGGGTCGGGTGCCTAGGCACAGCACATCCTATCTGTATTGTATGTGTCCTGTCTGCTAACTTACGTGTCTGTCAGTTCATGTGCCCTGTGGGCTGCCTGCCTGCCTGTGATCAGGACTAATGGGCCTTAGGTTTACAGATGTAGCAGAGGCACTAGCCACAGCCCGTCAGCTCTGGCACCTGCCTAATCCCCACTGGGTTCCTCCCCAGGCTGAGGTCTGCTCAGGAACCGTGGCCGACGTGCTCCAGTCTGTGGTTGGTGGAGCTGATGGCTGCATTTTCTCCTTCGGCCACATGAGCCTTGGTAAGTGCTCTGTCACTCCTGTGCACCCATGATGCCGTCTAACTGTTCCCGTCTTGGTTGTCGCTATCACTGAGCGTAGGCCTGGATGTGGGAGTGGGGAGTCTCACAGCAAAGCTGAGGCAGGCAGAGCCAGAAGGCAGAGGCCTCAGAGTGGCTGGGTGAGGTGTCAAGGCCATTTGGGTTAGCCCTGAGGACCCTGGGCACATTCCTGAGCCTGGAAGGACTCTGGAGGGCGGTTTGTGGAGGGTTAGCGGTGGTTCTCACATGCCGCTGTCTCCCAGGCAAGTCGTATACCATGATTGGGAAGGACAGCTCACCCCAGAGCCTGGGCATCGTGCCCTGTGCTATCTCCTGGCTCTTCAGGCTCATTGATGAGCGCAGGGAAAGGATGGGCACACGCTTCTCCATCCGTGTGTCTGCTGTGGAAGTGTGCGGCCATGACCAGAGTCTCCGGGACCTGCTTGCTGAGGTGGCTTCGGGCAGCCTTCAGGACACCCAGTCTCCAGGCGTTTGCCTGCGGGAGGACCCTGTGGGAGGGGCACAGGTACACCAATGCTTTTAGCCTTTCTGAGACTGGAGGAGGGAAGAGGGAGCACTGTGTTTGGCCTCAGGCCACTAAATGCATGTGCCCTCCACCTTTTCTCTCACAGCTCCAGAACCAGAATGAGCTGCGGGCACCCACAGCAGAGAAGGCAGCCTTCTATCTGGATGCGGCCTTGGCGGCCCGCAGCACAAGTCACGCTGGCTGTGGGGAAGACACCCGACGCAGCTCCCACATGCTCTTCACCCTACATGTGTACCAGTATCGTGTGGAGAAGTGTGGCCAAGGAGGAAGTAGGTGCACGGGGTGGGAGGGCATGTCCATGGGGTTGCCAGCCCCCTGAGGGGGGCCTTGTGGGCTTCTCTGCCTGCTTGGGTGGGCTGTGGAACAAGGTCTGGGTGCCCAGACCCCAGCACCTACTTATACTGTGTTTTCAGTGTCTGGAGGTCGCAGCCGCCTGCACCTCATCGACCTGGGCAGCTGTGAGGCAGCACTCAGCAGAGGCGGAGAGGCTTCTGGAGGACCCCTGTGTCTGTCTCTGTCAGCTCTGGGCAGTGTCATCCTGGCCCTAGTCAACGGGGCCAAGCATGTGCCCTACAGGTGAGGATGGGAGTAGGCACCAGCAGGGTGACCTGGGAAACTGGCTGTTTTGATGTCTGGCATTTCTGGGGACCTCGGTTCAGGGCCAGCAGGGGGTCCTGGAGCTTTGGGTGCAGGGACAGGTGCAAGGGCACAGTGAGAGCTCCACACCTAGCCCTGTCCCCCAGGCTAGTGGTCTACACCTCACCTGGTCTTCCACCTGGATGGCCCCTCCCCCCAGCCTCTGAGCGAATCCTTGGCTTGTAGGGACCACAGACTCACCATGCTGCTGCGGGAGTCCCTGGCTGCTACCAACTGCCGCACCACTATGATAGCACACATCTCAGACTCACCGGCCCACCACGCAGAGACCCTCAGCACTGTACAGCTGGCTGCCCGCATCCACCGCCTGCGCAGGAAGAAGGGCAAGGTAAGCCCCAGCTCCTGCGGCCTCCCAAGGGCCCCCAGGCTCCCATATCCTCTATAGCCCCCCACTCTGGACATCAGGGGGAAGGGGCAATAGGTGTGTTCAGCTGTAGGTGGGTCTCTTATGTCTCCAGAGAAGAGCCCAGCCCCAAGTCCCTGGGGCGCTGGGCAGGGATGCAGCTGCTCACAATAGGGTTTATGTTGTAAGGGGAATGAACACCATCCCAGCAGGAGACTTCCCAGGAATGCTGGGTGTTCTGAGGTCACTGCTCTGGGTCTGGATGCTGCACTTGGTGTAGCATGATCTTTTCTGCCTGAGCTCTGTCCCCACCCTGTGACATGGTCCATGCTGATTACCTCTCAAAGCTCCTCGGAAGCCTCCTTACGTTCTGTACCCTATAGTGTTATTCCCAGCACTTACAGGCCTTGCTCAGCTGCTCCTGTCTCGCAGAGTCCACACTCCTAGGCTGAGAGGGCAGAGTCCAAGGAAGAGATGAGATGGGGACCAGGGGTGTGTGCAGACAGGGGTGGGTCTACTCACAAGGGTCTGTTGTGCTGCCCCCAGTACGCATCCAGCTCCTCAGGAGGGGAGAGTTCCTGTGAGGAGAGCCGGGCCCGCCGTCCCCCACACCTGCGGCCCTTCCACCCACGCACCATGGTCCTGGACCCTGACCGCTCGGCTCCTGGCCTGTCCGGCGACCCTGACTACTCATCCAGCAGCGAGCAGTCCTGTGACACAGTCATCTACGTTGGTCCTGGCGGGGCAGCACTGTCCGACCGTGAGCTGACTGACAATGAGGGCCCACCTGACTTTGTGCCCATCATCCCTGCACTGAGCCGCCGCAGGCCCTCCGAGGGACCCCGGGACGCCGACCACTTCCGCTGCAGTACATTTGCAGAGCTGCAGGAGCGCCTAGAGTGCATAGATGGCAGCGAGGGATTCCCTGGTCCCCAGGGTGGCTCTGACGGAGCCCAAGCCAGCCCCGCCAGAGGAGGCAGGAAAGCCTCACTACCCGAGGCCACATCCCCCAGGAAGGCTGTGGGCCCTCCTATGGTTACCAGCTCCCCTCGAGGCAGCCCTGGGCAAGATACTCACCGGAGCACCTCAGAGCCCTCTAAGACTGGTCCACAGGGTGAGCAGAGAGTCGATGGTGCCCGGGCTGAGCCACCTGCCCCAGACAAGACTGCAGGAGGTGGCGGCAGGAGGCCGCTGCCCAGTCCAGCCCCTCCACCACCTCGGCAACCGGAAGCTCGAGGTGTCCCCACAGAGCCTGGGGGAGAGGGCCCTGACAGTGTGTTGCGGACAGCCCCCGTGGGCATGAGTGGGCAGATGGCCTCGTCCCCACTGCTCTCAGACACGTCTGCTCGTGGACGCCATCTGGAGCGGGGCCTGCTGACCACCACCGTCACCCTACAGCAGCCAGTGGAGCTGAATGGCGAGGACGAGCTGGTGTTCACAGTGGTAGAGGAACTACCTCTGGGGGGACTTGCAGGGGCCACACGACCCTCCAGTCTGGCCAGTTTGGGCAGTGACTGTTCCCTGCAGGCCTTGGCCTCAGGCTCGAGACCGGTCAGCATCATCAGCAGTATCAATGACGAGTTTGATGCCTATACCTCACAAGCGCCTGAGGGCCCAGGAGACCCCGGGGAGCTCCTAGAGGGAACGGCGTGGCCTGGTGGCAGTCCAGCCTCATCCATTGGCTCCTGGCTGAGCGACGTTGGTGTCTGCTTGGCTGAAAGCCGTGGTCCCACACCACAGCCTCCCTTCAGCCCTGACTCGGCAGCAGGGCCCGGTCCACCAGAGTTCCCTACCCCGAGCAGCTCCCTGGAGGACAGCAAGTTCAGGTCCTCAGAGTGTGGAAGACCGGACAATCCTGGCTCAGCCCGGGGCCTCCACCCAGCGGAGGCAGTCTCAGCAACTCAGACCCGACCCAGCAGAGAGCCTTGGGCCGGGTCTCCGCGTGAGGCAGCCTCAGCCCAGACCATCCACTCCAGTCTCCCCCGGAAACCCAGGACTACCTCAAACAGCAGCCGTGCTCGTCCCAGCCGGGGTCCGTGCAGTCCCGGAGGCCTGTTTGAGGACCCTTGGCTACTCCGGGCAGAGGACTGTGACACACACCAGATGGCCTCCGCAGGCGGGGTTCCAAGCCCAACTCCAGGCTCCCCTCGACTACCTGAGGCTCAGATAATGCTGACTTGTGCCCAGAGAGTGGTGGACGGGTGTGAGGTGACAACCAGAGGGTCCCGGAGACCGGAAGCTGTAGCTCGGATCCCACCTTTGCGGAGGGGAGCCACCACACTGGGAGTGACCACACCTGCTGCATCCTGTGGGGACGCCCCAGCAGAGGCAATAGTCCATTCAGGAAGCCTAAAGACCACCTCCAGCAGTAAGAAGAGCGTGTCTCCCAAGGGGGCCTTCTTTCCAAGGCCTAGTGGGGCCGGCCCCCCAGCTCCACCTGTGCGCAAGTCTAGCCTGGAGCAGAACACGACCCTCACCCCTACCCAGGCCTTGGGGCTGACCCGGGCGGGGGCTACTTCTGCCTTCCGCGGGGAAGACGAGGCCAGGCCCAGTGGCAGGTCTGATTACTCTGTTTCCAAGGCCACATCCAGCCTGAAAGCCCGAGCTGGCAAGGTGGAGGCGGCACACCGCCCCGCTGGCCACATGTCCCTGGAGCGGTACGAGAGCCCTACACATGGTAGTGGCAAGGTCAGGGAAGTCCCAGGACGGCCACCGAGGGCTGTGCCCAGGTTGGGTGTACCACCCACCAGCCCCCCACTTGGAGCAGCTCCTGCCTGTAGGAGCAGCCCAGCTAAGGGTGTTGGAGCATCCAAGCCTCCAGCTGGTGGGGCCAAGGGTCGTAATCTAGGGGCTAGTACGTCTCGGGCACTGGGCGCTCCAGTGAAGCCACTGGCCCCCGTGGCAGGCAAGACAACTAGTGGCCCTGTGCCAGGACCCCGGATGGCTCCACGGCCTGCACCTGGTATTGGGGCCAAGGCAGGCAGGGGCACCATCATGGGCACTAAGCAGGCATTCCGGGCCGCCCATAGCCGTGTCCATGAGCTGGCAGCCAGTGGATCTTCTGGTCGAGGCGGCCTCTCCTGGGGCTCAACCGACTCGGACAGCGGCAATGACAGCGGTGTGAACCTGGCCGAGGAGCGGCAGCCTGTGAGCCCCGCCCTGCCCTCCCCCTACAGCAAAGTGACCGCACCAAGGAGGCCCCAGCGCTACAGCAGCGGCCACGGCAGCGACAACAGCAGTGTGTTGAGTGGGGAGCTCCCCCCGGCCATGGGCCGCACCGCGCTCTTCTACCACAGCGGTGGCAGCAGCGGCTATGAGAGCATGATCCGCGACAGCGAGGCCACCGGCAGCGCCTCCTCGGCCCCTGACTCCATGAGTGAAAGCGGAACTGCCTCCCCGGGTGCCCGCTCCCGCAGCCTCAAGTCCCCAAAGAAAAGGGCCACAGGTGGGTAGCAGTGACAGTCTCCGGGCACAGCACTCTACAGTTTGTAGACCTGAGAGAGCCTTGACAGTGCACTGGGACCTAGTGGACCCTGATCTCCCCCAAAACTGGGTTTTACAGCCCTGCGGGTTCCTTGCAGCTCTGTGGGGTGCTCTTTTCTTGGTTCTTGGCGGTGGGCCTGGGCTCTCCACCCTGACACCTCACCCTGTGTGGTCTCTGGGATAGTTTACAAGTGCCAGGTGTGCATAGCCCTTGGTAGTTTATAAGCCATGGGTCCATACAGCCCTTCAGATTGTGAATGCACATGAGAGCAGCAGCAGACCCTTTGTTAAATACTCCTGGGGCTTGGTTGCATGCAGAGGTTCATGACCCACTCTAGTTTGTAAGCACTCCCGGTGTATTCCCTTCCCGGACCCCCACTCTACCCCAGAGACTGGTTCTTAACCCTGGCAAAGTAGTATGGCAAGGGTTTGGGTTCAAGCTAGGCAGTAGGCATTGGGCTCTGGGCTGGGCTCTCCCTGGCCACTGTCCCAGCTGCCCGAGAGCTCCTGCCAGCACTGTTCTGGCCCCCTCCCGGTTGACAGAGGGGCAGGGAAGATGTCGGTTAGAGCAGTAAGTCCTACTGCTGTGAGAGCAGTTGGTGTGGCTGTGCAGGTGATATGATTAGAGCCTGAGGTGCCCCTGGCTCTGTTTCAGGTCTACAGCGACGGAGGCTGATCCCGGCCCCACTCCCCGATGCTGCTGCCTTAGGCCGCAAGCCCAGCCTTCCTGGGCAATGGGTGGACTTGCCCCCGCCCCTGGCTGGCTCTCTGAAGGAGCCTTTTGAGATCAAGGTGTATGAGATAGATGACGTGGAGCGCCTGCAGCGGCACCGTCTGCCTCTGAGGGAGGAGGAAGCCAAGGTAAGGGAGGCTACAGTCAGTCAGAGGCTGGGAGTCCTGGGGTGTCAGGGAGGCCCATCTGATGAGCTCTCTGGGCCCCTGGAGATTCAGCCAGGCAGCCCCTGACATTACCTTTTTTTTTTTTGTCCACAGCCCTCTCAGGATGTGGAGAAGGTAGGAAGCAGTCTGCACCATCCCTGAGCTTGTAGTCCTTGGTGCTTTTGCCCGGGGTGGATGACGGGAGGGACTCTTGAGGCTACTATTGTGTTTCCACATCGCTGGACCCACAGTCCAGGAAGTCCTGGTGTGGACCCCTTGCAGATTCTACTCTTCATACCTTGGAGGGCTAGCCACGTGTTTATGCGGGGCCTGAAGTGGGAGGGAGGCCATGGCCAAAGCCAGGGAGCCAAGAAGCCTTCTGGAGAGAGTCCCTGCCATCTATACCTGAGCCTACTCTACCTGTCCCTTGCCAACAGGGCCCGGTCTGCATCAGCTCCAAGCTGCGGCTAGCAGAGCGCAGGCAGCAGCGGCTGCAGGAAGTGCAGGCCAAACGTGACCACCTCTGTGAGGAGCTGGCTGAGACCCAGGGCCGGCTGATGGTGGAGCCTGGGCGCTGGCTGGAGCAGTGTGAGTGCCCCGCTCCCTCTGTGGCCGGACACTGAGATAGAGACCCAGCGGGTGCAGGAGCCCAGACCCTACGCCCTAGTCTCTCCCTTCTCTGCCCTCAGCTGTTCCCATACAGTAGGTGGCGGAAGGGGGGCGAGGATCCACCGAGCTGACACTTTTCCTTGGGGGACTTGAGGAGCTTGGCTGCTGTCCTGGCTTCTGCCCTGACCCTGTCTCGTCTCTCTCCAGTCGAGGTGGACCCAGAGCTGGAGCCGGAATCAGCTGAGTATCTGGCGGCCCTGGAGCAAGCCACAGCTGCCCTGGAGCAGTGCGTTAACCTGTGCAAGGCCCACGTCATGATGGTCACCTGCTTTGACATTGGTGTGGCTGCCACCGCTGCTGTACCTGGGCCGCAGGAGGTGGATGTTTGAGGCTGAGCACAGGTCATAGGTGGGGGCCTGCAGGGCAGGGGTGCAAGGATAGGATGTGGGATGGAATGAGGATGTGGAGGGGGTTGGAGGGTTGAAGACACAGGGTCTGTGCAGGATGTGGGGGTCTCAGAGAGGAGACAGAGAGTGGGGGAGGGGAGGGCCAGCCACTGGACAGAGAGAGCACGGGGATGGAAAGACTGTCACCACCCAGACAGCCACGCAAGTGCCTTTAACCTTGAGTAGGCCTTTTCTTCTTTTCTAATTTGGTGCTATGGACTCAAGACAGGACCCAGACACCAGCAGACAGTCTCAGCCTGGGTGGCTGCGGCCACCCAGGCCAAGCTAAAGCCAGTTTGTTTCTGATTTTTGCCTTCCTTACCGCTAAGCAGTCTTGTGTAGCAGGGCGGGCTTGTTCGGGCCAGCTCTCCTTTAGGATTGGGTTCATTCTCTTCTCCAGCAGCTTTCCCTCAACAGCCCACATGAGTGGTCTCTGCCAGTCCACAGCAGTGGTGTCCTCTGGGTGCGGACAGCTAGCCTGAGTCCCCTCCTTTCCTTGAGGGCCCCATTCTATTCTGAGGACACCAGAGGCCACAAGCGAGGGCTGGGCCATGAGCACACGATGCTTTCTTCCACGGCAGGAATTCTTACCAAAACCACAAGCAAAAAAACAAAAACACAATGAAGCAAGCCGCCGCCAACAAAGACGGGGTGTGAGTTTTTGTAAAAGTTCTGTTAGCTTCATATTTTTGTATCATTTTGCCTAAAAACAGAATTTGCAGTGGGAATTTGAAGACAAATTGTCTAAGTTTTTATGGTTTTCTACAGGTATTCCTAGGTCGGGGGCTCTTGGCAGCTGTCGGGGCAGGCTTTTTCTGGGGTACACTGAGGGCAGTGTTGGGGGGGGGGTCTGTGGGAGGTGATTCTTTTCAGATGCAGATGAGGGGGTGAGCCTGCCAGCCTGTGATGTGGCCCGCACGCAGGTTCGTGCCTCCTGACCGTTGTGTATTTTATAGGCGTCCAGACCTTTGTACAAATGTGTAGATAACATCTTGCGACAGTTTTTATTTGTGAATAAAAGATGTGTTGATTGTTCGTGTGGCTCTGAGTTCACTGGGTGCCCCTGAGCCCTTGGCCCCTGGTGTGGGGCTGAGAAGACCGCGGGGCGGAGGGAAGCAACCGCGGGACCTGAGGATTTTAGGGAGCCGTGCTGGGGACTTGCGCTTTGCCCACTGTTTCTGTCTGAGCTGCCATGAAGCCGAACAGGTGGCTAGCCGCAGCCTGAGTTCAAACCCATACTTCTTCTTTAAGCCCCAAGACCTAAGGGTGAAGCTGGGAGCCAGCCTTGGGGGCCAGGCTGGAGGGAAGCAGCCTTTTGTGGTGGCTGCTAGCTCCTCCCCACGGAGGGTCTTATTTGGAGAAATCAAAACGACAAAACCGCAACTCGGGAACAGCTCCAGAAAAGCTCTGGTTCCTTTCCTCTGTTCTCGGCTTGTCTTTCAGGGGCTGAGCCTGGGAGCCCTTGTCCAGCAGGGCTAGCTCCTCCTGTGATAGGGCGGTCTAGCCTGGGTCCCCTCTGTGGTCTCACACTCCGTGTTACCTACTGCATTAATTGGCTGTCTCCTGTGGTTTGTCCCTGTGCCCAGTCCTCTTGCAGGCTCCCACCACCCTGCGAGCCCTGGGATGCTCTGCTTTTCATTACTCCTGCCCCTCCCAGCAGCCCCCTGTGCTGGGGATGCCCCCTTCTCTGGCCTCTGGCAGTGTTGGTGGGGGCCTCTCCGTGGTGGCCCTGCTTCCAGGGCCCCTCCTTGGTGGCAAGTCACACCTTGTGTGGTCTCTGTATATCTATCTCCTAGCCTCAGTGGGGCCCTTGGGTGGGGTAGGGTCTGAGTCATCATCACACTTCTGCATGGCACAGGGCTGGGCCCCAGTGAGCCCTGGGGGGCCCTTGCTGAAGAAAGTAAATGAATGAACAAAGGAACGAGTCTCCTCACAGACGCCCTGGCTGGGGTAGAAGCAGGCTCTGGGCGGAGAGCGCTCCACCGTTTGCAGAAACCCTAACAGTTGTTCTAACACTGTTCTCTGGCCACTGTGGGTCAGGCCTCTGGGCTGTCCTGGGACTGCCTGCTTCCTCTGCTGCAGCAGGTGTGTGGGGCTGGGGATCACAGGCCAGTCGGGAAGATGTTCTGCCCATGCCATGTCTCTTACTCTGTTCTGAGGCCAGCAGCACACAGACTCGGGAGGAAGCTGTTTTCAGTCAGCCCTGTGTTATCCAAGGCATTTTGTCCTTGGATCTGGAGGGCTGTGTTGCACAGGGTATGTTGAATTTGGGGATAGAGGAGATTCTCACGGGAGAGGCAAGAAGCTCACTTTATCTCTTGCAGCCCGGTGCCCATGTGCTCTGCATGGAGGTGCTGTCTGCCAGAACAGGGCAACATAGCATCCAAGCAGGGCCCACACAGATGCTGGGAAAGGCCTCCCGCAGGTCCCTGGTATGGGCTCTGCCTCCCATCATGATTGTGCAATCTGGACTGTGTGAGGGTGGGTAGCCACTGGAACACCTCAGCTACACTTCCATCTGTCCATCACAGGCGTGGGCCAGAACCTCCTCCACAGAGGGAGGCATCCCCCAGCCTTGAGCCCCAAGCTTGTCCTTGCCAGATTCCTCTATAGGCAAAGCCCAAACATCGACGGTCTCCTAGGTAAAGCCTGCTGCCCACAGTCCAGGCTGGAGGAGCACTTGCTTTTCTGGATAAGGAACTCACTGTCCTGAGACCAGCCTGGGAGCCTTGTGTGGCCTTTCATCTGGGACATCAAAGCCCTCAGCCCTGTTATTAAGGGCTGGGAATCCCGTGGGGAGCAATGTGAGTCCCACTACGCCCATTTTATGGATGGGAACACAGCAGTCACCCAGAACCCAGCTCTGTAGTGGAATCTGAGCCGATGGCAGTCTGCCCCATGCCTCCTGTAATGGGTCTGTGTATATCCTCCTTAGGGACAGAAAACTGAGGCCCAGGGCAAGGGGCCACTCAAGCCCCTATTCCCATCTCTCAGATGAGGGCAGATTGAGATCCTGAAAGGAGCATTTCTGAGAGCATGCAGCGCACGGAAGCCTGGAATAGGGCTGCATTGCAGACCAGAGTAGTCAGCAGGGACCTGAAGCCAGAGAAGCTGGGGCACCTGCCTGGGCCATGTGGGGGTACAGGCTTGTGGCAGCTCAGGCATCAGCTCCCACAGGCTCAGAAGCTGGCCTGGCACCTGGCCACATGCTTCCCCAAGGCAAGGTGCCCGCCTGACTCAGGCTACAAGTTGGGGCCTGTCTGCTCGCCCTAACCACTCCACCCTGGCACAGAAGGCCCAGTGGGTAGGAGGGGCAAGGGGCTTCCAGGGCACAGTAGGGGACTCAGAAGAGGCCGGAGACAGAAGTAGGCAGGACAGTGACTAAGCAGCGTGGTTGCACCCCTGGAGAGATACCGTGGTGTTAACTCTCTGTGTAGGGCCAGGCCTGCTGCCTCCAGAGGCTACCATCCATGTTTGTGTGTCGGACCCTTTCTCCAAGAACCGGGTTGGGCAGGGAGAAGGAGCTACAGGGATATTTACCCCAGAGCCCTGCTGTGAGGTAGAGAGGCAGGGAGTAGGCTCCATGGCGCTTTCTAGGACCGAAGGATCCTGGAGTACTTGGCTCTCAGAGGTTCCTGTGAGCATCCCCTGTGGTCACAATCACAGAGGTCAGAAGTGACCCACAGCAGCGGTCAAGGGAAGGGGACACAGGGTGGACTGGTGACACCGTTGGCCGTCAGGGAGGAGGGTGGCAGGTGTTGGTGACAGAGGGCACGGCGGCAGAGGCCTCCAGCCTGGTTGGCAGGGATCTGGGTGGCAGGTGCTTTGGGTCTTCCCTCCCTGCCTGCCTGCTCCTTTCTCACCTGTCTTTGGGTCAGTCAGCCCCAGCAGGGCCCAGCTTGATGGCCAGGGGCCTTTCCTAAACTTACCTGCCCTTGGGAAGCACCGTGAGGCCCCGTGGCCAGGATCTGTGGGTGACAGGGCTTAAGTAAACAGCCAAGGTTTGCCCCTGTGCGCTAGTGGGGTCTGTGGCGGGGAGGGCAGGCTCTGCCAGTTTCCACTTGTCTCCAATACCGTGTCCCTCCCTTTGCCCATGTCACAGTTACATGTACATTGTCATGTTGCCAGACCCTTTGGGATCTCACTAGTGCCAGCCCTGGCTGCCTTGGGCTCACAGTACTCTGAGCTCTCTGGAAGGGGCCCCAGCTTTAGGGAGTCTACCTCATGGTCCTAGGGGAACCACAAGGCCCTGTGCCATAGCCAGAGCTTTCTAGAAGAAACCCCACAGCCCTGAACTGGGTTAAGACACCCCCCCACCCCCACCCCCCGCCTCCCCCCAACACCCCCCCCTACCCCCGCTTGGCTGCTCCCCTCCTGGGCCAGGAGCACTGGGACCAGGCCCTGGGATCTGCTCCCAGCAAACAGGAAGCTCACATGGAGATCTCTCCCTCCTGATATTGTGTTTAACAAGGCAGGATCCAGGCTGTTTCCACACAGGAAGCCCTGGAGGCTGGGAGGGGCTGGGAAGGAATTCCCTGAGCTGCCAAGAGGCCAGCTTTCCTGTAGGGTGGAGGTGGGATGAGGTATGGTGGGGTCTTGGTCGGGAGCCAAGAGCTACCCAGTGCTGGGACCCTCTCAGAACCCCAGACTGGTGGCCTTAGAAATTCTCAAGTTTGAGATGGACACTGAGGGACAGTGAGGCCCAGCCCCAGAGTCTGTCAGTCCTTCAGATGAGGGTAGGTCAGAGAGAGGGCTTCCCCTTCTGCAGAGTCCAGGGAGGCCATGCGCAGGAGCTGAGCAGAGAACATCTGTTGTCTCAGGGCTGAGGCCTCCAGGAGACGCAGGAGAGTTCAGGGCCTCCCTGGCCCTTCTCTCCAGGACAGTGCTCTGCCCTGGGCAGCCCAAGGGTCCTCTTCAGGTGCCTTCCTTACCAAGGCCTTTGAAGTGTCCCCCACAGCCTTTAGATGTGGTGAAGTGCAGGCCTGCCATCCCAGGTACTGGGGAGACAGAGGTAAGAGGCTCTGGCATTCAAATCCCACCTAGACTACAGAGTAAGACCCCGTCCCAAAATTTAAAAAGTAAAAAGACGGGCTTAGAGAGTGGGCTGAGAGGTTAAGAGCCCTGATTGCTCTTCCAGAGGACCCAGGTTGGATTTCCAGGGAGCCCATGCCCTCTCGAGGCCTGGCATCAGGCCCACACGTGGTGTACAGACGTAAACCCAGGCAAAATACCCACCCACATAATATAAAATTAAAATTGAAGTGAAGGGGGGGCTCCGGAGGAGCTCAGTGGGGCTTCTGAGTGCATGTGAGGCCCAGGTTCAATCCCCAGCTTTAGAGACAGCAGCTTAGCCCTGCTCTGTATTGTATTTGTTTCTGAATTGTCTTTTTAAGTTTTCCTTACTTATTTTATTGTGTTTTAAATTTATTTTTTATGTGTATGGGTGTTCTGCCTGCCTGTGTCTGTACCACACGCTTGCAGTGCCCACAGAAAAGGGCATCCAGTTCCTCTAGACTAGAGTTACACACAGTTCTGGGTCCTCTGGAAGAGAAGCCAGTGTTTCTACCATGGGGTCATCTTTCCAACCCCCACTTTATTGATTTTTTTTTAAAGGCAAAGTCTTAAGTAGCTCAGGATTGCCTTAAATTCACTATGTAGCAGAGAATGACCTTGAATCCCTGATCCTCCTGCCTCCACCTCCTAAGTACTGGGATTACAGGTATAATAAAAATCACCACATCCTGTTTTTATTTTTTATATTTTATTTACTTTTTAAGATGAGCTCAGGCTGGCTTTGAACTCATGAACCTCCAGTTGTATACCTCCACACCCAGCTAGATAGAACCATCTTTAACATTAATTTATGTTTAGGCACAATGCTGAGGGTGACACAGCACCCCCATGCCCCACATCGCTTCCCTGATATTCTGTCCCCCATTATGGTAATGCTTGCTGCAGCCTTTGAACCATGAATGACAGTGACATGGCCTTTGTGTTCATTGCCTCAGTTTCCTCTTCCGGCCCAACATTCCACC